GTGGCTCGTAACAACAAATGCTTATTTCTCTCAGTTCTGGAGCTGGAAGTCCACGATCGAGGCGCCGGCAGACTCAGTGTCCGGCGGGGACCACTCCCTGGGCCATACACGGCTCTCTTCCTCCCCCGACCCCCGGCAGAGGGGCCGAGGGAGCTCCCTGAGGTCTCTTTTATGGGGACTGACCTCGTTCATGGGGGCGCCCACCCCGAGACCCAGTCGCTCCCCCCAGGCACCCCTAACACTGCCGCCCTGGGCGTCAGGCTTTAGCAGACGGACGCTGGGGGCAGACACAGTCTGTCTGTGGCGCTCGACTTCCTCAGCGCCCGAAATAGCTTGTTGCCCAGTATGTTGACCTTTCTAACTATGAGCAAATCCCTCGTCGTGTGTGTTTCTTGTGGCCTCTGTAACCAATTACAACTCACTTAGTGGCTTAACACAATACCGATCTCCTCTCGGTTTCGAAATTCAGAACCTGACACGCGTGTCGCTGGTTGCCAGGCTCCGAGGGAGAAGCGCGTCCCCGTCTGCGCGTCTGCGCGTCTGCGGACCACTTGCTCCCAGGCTTGTCACCTCTCCCGGCAAGCCCATCGCTGCGATGTCCGCTTCTGGCATTGTCACGTGGCCTTCTCCCTCTCCCAGAGTGAGCTCTCCCTCCTATGAGGACACGCGTGATGGCACTTTAGAGCCCGGCCGCTTAACCCAGGCTCATCTCTCCGTCTCAAGATCCTTAACTCAGTCACCGCTGCGAAGTCTCTTACCCGAGGGGGCGTGTGGTCACAGGCGATCAGGGCGGGGACAGTCAAGACTCCTGTGACAGATTCCCACCTGGACAGACCCCAGCGACGGTCTGCAGCCAGGTGACTGCGTGGCGATTTCAGCACCGGTGCCCGTTTCCATGGAGATCTTCCATCCGTCGGAACGCGGTCTCCGGGAGGCGGAGGCCGTGTGTGTTTGGGTGGCGGCTTTTCAGAACCTTGGACAGCACCCGGATCGCTTGCACCACGTGACTGCATCTTCCTCAGGGGTCGCTAACACGCCTGCTTCTTCCGTTCTGGGGTTCGGGCCCCCACGAGGGAAGAGGTCAGGATCCAATGCTAGCCAAGGAGAAATAAAAGCCCTGACTTTCCTCCGAGTGGCAGCCGATGTCACCCCGGCCCCCGTAAATACCACACACGACTTCTTCCAGGCTAAACACCCAGCTGCCACTGTGAGCTTACACTAGTGTCTGCCCCACAGCCGTCGGCGAGCGCCGCGGGAATGTTCCCGCTTAGCCCTCACGGCCAGGACAGCCTCACAGTTGCTCGGGTCGTGTGTTGCACGACTGGAAGATGCGGCACCTCGACCGGGCAGAGGACACCCTCGCTCCGCCTGCACGGCTCGCTCAGCCCTGGCCGCCCCCTGAAGGGACGGCTGTGACCGTGATCACGTCGTAGTTGGGGAACCAGAGGCTAGAGGAGGTGGCGTGTCCCGTAACCGGGGCCGTCGTCCGCGTCCTGTTCTGGGTGTAACCCACCCCACGGCCCACTGGCAGCCAGTACGCTTAGCTGCCTGCAGCCGGTATCGGACGTGGAGTGTGTTCGTGACGACCCCGTGGCCTCCACGCTGCAGAAACTCCACGAGCGGCACGGACCGTTGAGGTTCGTGGGTGGGCTTCTGATACCTGCGATAGAATCAGGTGCGGTTAGTTCGGTTTCCTCTGCTCGTATCAGAAAAGCAATTCTCCTTCCTGCCACTTTGCAAGAATTTAGTAAATCACCCATCATGCCCCAAACCAAAGAAGGCAACATCGACTTAAAGTTTATCTTTAATTATATTTAAACCACAAGGCATAACTGAATGTATTGACATTTATATGAAGAAATGAGCTGACATTCTATTAACCTCAACCAGCAAATTAATTCTTCAGACTCAGACCCGCAGCTGTTGAGGGCCGTGCACAGTCGCGCGTCGATCGTAGGTGGTGTGGCTCCTTCGCGCGGGGGCTTGACGGCTGAGCCTGCGGAAACAGCCGTCCCGCACCTGAGGAACCTACTAGGTACATATTTGAATTATTTTTCTTATCACAGAAGAATAAAGCGTCGGAGCCTCTCAGTGCTTCCGTCCGTCATGTCAGGTGGGCCTCGTGAAGATCGTCCGTAGAGTTGGCGGTGATCGTCACCAGCCATTAGCGGTCTCGTCTGCATTTCCGAAGGAGGCAAGCACGCCTCTTTCTACTCTAGCAGCTTTCTGCTGCGCGCCCATGGAGATCACGGCGGGGTAAAGGGAAGCCGTCTTCGCCCATCCTTTATTCCTCCACCGAGCTGACGGTGCTGGGTCTTACGCGATTCGGATTTCTCGTGCAGTTTGCTGTCAGGTGGGGAAGTTTGGGGCTGCTCCCTCCTGATGAAGACAGTCCATCGGCCACCCGCCGTGAGCTAGGCTGCTTCCCTCCAGACGAGGCGCTAAGCGTTTTGTTCCCAACAATCCTCCTTTGATCTGTCTGCTGACACGTCCTGCCAAGAAGGGATCTCGATGGATACGTCCCTCTGGGCGTGCTCCCTCTTAAAAAAATAAACGCGGAGGGAGGGGTGGGAGCAGCCGCACTGGGTTGCCGGACGCAGCAGAGGACACATTTTTAATTAAAAATTCTCGAGGGCAAAGTCTCGGGAAATTCGCTGCCCCATCCAACGGTCGAGTCAGCGGAGAAGGTGGGCGCGCCTGCCCGCAGCGCTGCTGCTTCGAGGCCGAACCCGCCTCGGCCCCCGACAGGCGGAGGCTGAGGCGTTCCGGCGCTGACCGTGGGTGACCAGCTTGCTCACCTTCCCCGTTACTTCTTCCACCTCCTGATTTCACGTGTCCTGCCCAGGTCCCAGCGAGGGCGTCATCAGCGATGCTGAGCAGAAAGAGTTTATGGAATCTCGTCCCCCGTCCCCTGCTTATGCGGACGAGACGTGATCTGGAACAGTCTGCAGCCCTGGCATGGACGCCGATGTGTCTGTGGCATACGAATTCGATTTTTTTTTTAAGTAAAAAATAAAACAAAAAACTCCCAACAAAAAGAAATAATTAAAAATAAAACATCTCTCCATCTCCAAGTGAACATGTTTGAGGAAGTGTCGGGACGCAGAGCTGAGAGAGTCGGCTGTGTTTTCTTCCCCTTTTCGTCTGCAGCAGAAGCTCCAGCTCGCGAGGGGGAGACACCTTCTGCTGGAGGACGGGGCTGGGGGGCAGCTCTGGAGGCACCTCGCGCGCCCTTCGCTTTAAGTAGAATTTCGCCCTTTCTTCCCCGTTACCGAGTGAAGACCTTCCGTGGCTTCTGGTCGTCCATCCCGCCCACTCCAGTCCCCTCTCTCTCTGACGTCGAAATGTCACAGACGCTCTTTTCACTGAGGAAAAGGCGCACTTTAAAAAAAAATCATTTAAAGCCAACGTATGTAAAATGCAGACTGGGGTGTCATAATAAAAGCAGTTGTAAGCGAGGTTCAGGCAGGAAGGAGCTGCCTTTCATGAGCGAAGCTTAAGACAGAGGAGAGCAGCTTATTTCATCTTAAATGAGCAAAAGTTTTCCTCACGGCTACGGACCGAGTCTTAGCGAGAGACGGAAAGCAGGACCGGCCGGGCGCGAGGGGTCATCTTTCAGGGAAAAAAAAGAAAACTCTTTCAGTTTGGATCAATTTTGAAAAAGTCGTCTAGGTCTTCGGCACATTTTCTCAAAGGCCTGTCTGGTGGCTTCGTTCATCACGTCGTGTGTTTCGGAGGCACCTGCCTTGTCATCGTCCTTGCTGACCGTCTCCTTTTCAAACACCGACACGTCTAACTCCGCCGGACGCGGTGGAAGTCATTCAAGCAGTTATCGCCAAGGTTCACTTCTCGGGGATTCTGGGGATCATGTGACACCTTTCAAAAGGTCCGGAACATCCGTTCGTGAGAGGTTTGCATGGTGTTTGCGCGGCATTGCGTTGTGGATACAAGGAGTGGTCAGCAAGGCCACTTGAGGAGGACGTTTAGGGTGAGTGTGGGAGGGGGGACGAGATCACCGATCGGGACCTCACTCGTCACCGGCCGCCACGTGACCCTTCTTCGGATACAGGGGACCCCGATATTTATTCAAGCATCATCTCTGCTTTCGGTTTTTCCGTCCGCCCTTTCTTGCTGGAGGAGAAGCTGGTCATCGCACGTGGGCGGCTTTTCGGTGGTCAGCACGGGGGCGACGTGGGCGCGTGTGTGTTTTCTCGCAGATCTTGCCCGCAGCCGTCGGCAGACGCGCACCTAGATGACACGGGCCGAGGGCTGTGCGCCAGGCGGGGAGGCCAGCGCCCCGGGGGCCCCCACAGTGGACCCATCCTGAGAACACGGGCCCTGCAGCCGCCTGCGCCGCCAGGGTGGGGGAGCAATGGGAAGATGGCTCGGTGGGGGCCACCAGGCACACTGTGCCCGAGGAGGTGGCGGCCGTGTTCCCGGGGAACTCCTCCCTCCTTGGGTTCACTTCCTGACGGCAGCCGTCCTGGCCCCGCCCCCACCCACGTTCCGATCTGGGGGGCCCGCCTTCGGCATCCCCACCGCGAGCCCCCAGCGCCCGTGCTCATGGACCCGCACTGGGCGGTCAGATGGAGGGCGAGTGTGGCCACAGCTTCAGAGGAACGGTGGCCCCCTCCGCACCAGGCAACGTCTGCCCCGCTTCAGAGGCACCCGAGCCTCGGCAGCAATGTCCACCCCGCTTCATCCCCACTGACCCCACACTCAGACCTTCACCTGGAGGCGCTCGGTGCTGAACACGGGGTGCCGCCTGAGGGAAGAAAGGCAAGGGCCGGCTTTGGCAGCAACGCCACGTGGCTCGGAGAGGGACTCTCTGGACGAGGACAGTGCGCGTCCGCCGAGGACCTACGACCTGCAGCCGGCCGCTCTGCGCTTCTCCTTAGAGGGCGTTGCCGCCGTCTCGGCCGCTGTCACCACAACTGTGCTTTGCTACCAGCTCCGGCAGGGCAGGGGCCCAGGGCGACCGGCGCCCTGCAGCGTAGGCCATGGCTCTGCACCGTGAAGAATCGCCCCTCGCTCGGTCTGGAGGCCTCATGTTCCGCAGGCCTTTTCACAGGAGTCACCTCGTCTGCGGGACGGCCTTTTCCTCCCTCAACTTCCGCCATCCGTAATTCGGCGTGGCCTGTCGTCCCCACGCAGCTACGGTCACTCGGTGCCTGTCATCGTCACACGCGACCCGGCCTGGTGCCCGGCGCGTGTCCACACTCCGCGCTCTCGTTTCCTGTTCTCTCGCCCAGGCAGCCTGAGACCAGCCGTCGCGCCCTCATCTGCTCATTCTCAGCGGGATCGGCACTGGCTCCCTCCCGGCGTCTGCCGGGGAAGGTGATCCCAAGCACTGACTTGTCAGAACGAATCTCTTCAATTGTTTCAAAGGCCTGCGAATTTCCCACTTCTCTCAGGAAAAAGACCAGAGGCTGGCAAGCTTAGGCTTCGCAGGCCACTGACTTCCTGTGCTGCGTATTGCTTTTTTAAATAACGTTTTATGATGTAAAGGCCGTTTTTAGCTCAGGCTCTATGCCGTGGCTTGGACCTGACCCGCCAGCCCCCGTTTGCCGACTCTGAAAGAGACGATGCTCAGCAGGGCCCGTGCGGGCCCCTCTGCCCACCAGCCGCACCTCGAGCCTCAGGTCCTGGCCCCCTGGGTGTCCCGGCCTCACTGGGTCCCGTCGCTTCCTTCGCCCGTCCTGCGCCCTCCGAGCACATACGCACCTGTCTGTAGTGGGTCCCTTCCTCCTGGAGCCCTTTGAATTTCCGCCCCACCTCCCTGGCTTCACGCCCCGAGCCTTGCCTCCCGGGAAACTGTCCCGCGTCCCTGACTGCACGACCGTCCTCCGAAGCAGCCCCTCAGCTTGCCACGTCCCTCCGCTTCTCGCCTTTCTGTACAGTGGCCCATCTGCCTGCGTCGAGATGCTCGTTCACTCAGCGGCCATCGTCCCCACTAGAGTGTGTGTCCGAGGAGATCAAGCAGTTTCAGCGTGTGCTCCCTGGGGCTCTGGGGGGCTCGCCCGTGGCACTCGCCAATGCCCCTGGTGTAAATACCCCTCCGGACGTCACCGAATGTGGAGCCAGCTCAGTCTGGGCCACCGCTAGGCCTTAATCCTTCTAAGCTAACGGCATCTGCATCCCTGTCGGCCAGTGCAGCACCCGGGAGAAATCAAGACCCCCAGAAACGCCATTCTCTGGAGAGCAGCAAAGCACAGAGAGGAGGAAGCGCAGTCTCGCTGGCCCGAGCCGCGGTCCGTGCTCTTTTCCAGAACGACCTGGTTCCCGGGCCTCAGAGTGTACGGGGCGGAAACAGAGGACCCGAGAAGACAGATTCATGGTGACTGAAGTTCATCATTGAGCATGTACATTGGAGGAGGGGCTGTGCCTGTTTCACTTCATAACGAGAAAGGCTTTGACTCCGAAAACGCGAACGCGAACTTTCGGAAAAAGGCGTCCGCTGCGGGGAACGTGACACCGCGATCGTGTCTGAGACGAGACGGTTTGTTGGAGCGACAGCCTTCGTTTAATTTTGAAAACGAGGCGCGAAGGCAGAGGACAGCAGCTCCTCCGTCGGGGCGACATTGGGTAGCCGGTACCGGAGCTCGCGGCCGATGCTCACCCCCAAACAGCGCTGCAGACGGGGCCCGGGCCGGGCGGCGGA